AATCCAGCCTGGGCCCGCCAACAACAATGATGGCTGCAACCAAAAAAATAGCCGGGCATCATGGCAGGCGCCTGTGGTCCCAGCCACTTGGGAGGCTGAGGCAGGAGACTCGCTTGAGCCCAGGAGTTAGAGGTTGCGGTGAGTTGTGATGCCATGGCACTCTATCCAGGGTGACAGCTTGAGGCTCTGTCTCAAAAAAAGTGTTGTTTTCTTTTTTTGAGACAGAGTCTGACTTTGTCATCCTTGGTAGAGTGCTATGGAGTCATAGCTCATAGCAACGTCAAACTCCTGGGCTCAAACAATCATCTTGCTTCAACGTCCCAACTAGCTGGGACTACAGGTGCCCACTACAACGCCTGGCTATTTTTTCTTTCTTTTTTTTTTTTTTTAAAGACAGGGTCTTGCTCTTGTTAAGGCTGGTCTCTAACTTATAAGCTCAAGCAATCCACCCACCTTGGCTTCCCAGACAGCTAGGATTACAGGTGTGAGCCACCATGCCTGGCCTGATTAAAAATATTTTTACCTTCCAAAATTTTATTTTAACAACATGCTGCTCCATGTCCTAAGCCCCCAAAGTGAATTAAGTATTTAAAATAATTTAGAACTTACACGTATGTGCTGGCAAGGTTGCCTGAATTGATGATGCTATAAACCTAAATCTATAGAATTTAGGTTCTGAATAAGGTCTAAGTATAAAAGGCTTCTGAAGACCTTACTAATGTCAATGTCATTGATAGAAACAAACAATTGAAATTTTCAGGCAAGAAATTGCTAATACCCACCAGCATCAATAATGTCCTTGACAGTCCCTAGAAATTTATGGCCAAGCTTCAGAAATTTAAAAAGATGGCTTTCTGACTTAAAAAAAATGTCCTTGATTCCTACTGAGCAGCAATTTTTTGCACTATCTTCAACTTTCTGTAACAAAAAGATAAGAAACTGAGCTAATTGACCAAGGTCACAGAGCACCTAGAAACTTGAATCCAGGCATCCTGACTCATCATAAATTATATGTTATAAATTATCCACAGAACTGAGCTGTCCAATACACTTGTTCAGGGTCAACTGGGACAGTATTTCCACAGAACTCTATCCATAATTCTGGCCACATGTGGGTGCTCAAGTTAAAATTAAATTTAAAACTTGGTTCCTCATCACACCAGCCTCACTTCAAGTGCTCTAAAGTCACATGGCTGGTAATGACCATGCTGGACCGCACAGATGTAGAATATTTTCATCACTGCAGAAAGCTCCACTGGAGGGAGCGTTGGTATAGAATATTATGGAGTAAAGTTTCTTTAACAAAGCATCTTTAAAAAGGTTTATTATGCCCCAGAAAGATGCTTATGATACACTGTTAAGGAAAGTAGAATCCAAAATTGCACATGAGATTTGGGGGATAGAATTGTGTGTAAATACTGTCCCAGTTGACTCTGAACAACGTGGGTTTGAACTGCGTGGGTCCACATATACGCAGATTTTCTTCCCGCTCTGCCACCTGAGACAGCGAGACCAGCCCATCCTCTTCCTCCTCCTCCTTAATCTACTCAGGGTGAAGGAGATGAGGATGAAGACCGCTAGGATGATCACTTCCACTTAGTAAGTGGTAAATACATTCACTCTAGTCACTCTGCCTCAGGATTTTCTCTCTCTCTTCCCCTTTTTCCTTTCTTCCTTCCCTTCCCTTCCTTCCTTTCTTTTTTTTGAGACAGTGCTTTGTTGCCCTCAGTAGAGTGCTGTGGCATCACAGCTCACAGCAACCTTAAACTTGTGGACTTAAGTGATCCTCTTGCCTCAGCCTCCTGAGTAGCTGGGACTACAGGCACCCGCCACAACGCCCAGCTATTTTTTAGAGATGGGGTCTCGCTCTGGCTCAGGCTGGTCTCCCAATTTGTAAGCTCAGGCAATCTACCCACCTCAGCCTCCCTCACTGTACTTGGCCCCCTCCCCTTTTTTTGAAACAGGGTCCTCCCATTCTGCCACCCTGGGTAGAGTACTGTGTGTCATAGCTCACGGCAACCTTAAACTCTTGAGCTGAAGTGATCCTCTTGCCTCAGCCTCCTGAGTAGCTGAGATTACAAAGGCCTGCCATAACACCCAGCTCTTTTTCTTTAGAGACGGGGTCTCGCTGCTGCTCAGGCTGGTCTTAAACCCCTGAGCTCAAGAATTCCACCTGCCTCAGCCTCCCAGAGTGCTGGGATTATAGAGGTGAGCCACCACACCTGGCCTTCCTTAGGATTTTCTTAGTAATATTTGCTTTTCATTAGCTTATTGTATTGTAAGAATACAGTGTCTAACACATCTAATATATACACTATGTTAATCCACTCTTTATGTGATTTGCAAAGCTTCTGGTCAACAGGAAGCTATTAGTACATAAGTTTCTGGGTAGTCAAAAGTTATACTCAAGAGTTTTTTACCACATCAGGGATTGGCACCCCTAACTCCCATGTCATTCAAGGGTCAATTGTATTTTGTTTTCTACTTTTATAAACTTTGCAGATTTTTTTTTTAGGAGAATAATTGATTTATTTTATTCTTATACCGAGGAAATAAGGAACTTTCTCTGCAAGTTGGATGAGAGACACTCACCTGCCCCATCTGTGGAAACATACTGAAAGACACGGGCACCATCAGTCCCATCACCAGGATGGTGCAAGACAGTTTCACAGTCCATAATGACGATGGATTTTTCCGGAAAAACTGAGTTCTGTAAGAGACAAGGTGCAGCTCACAAGTGATGCTAAGCTATCAGGGCCACATTCAGGCTGGCCTTCTGCCCCAGTGGTGGCTAATTCCCTCTTGTATGCGGTGGCAGGCCCCGCCTTGGTTCCTGCTCAACTCACAAACCGGCGATAATGCAATGGCACTGGCTGGGCGCTTAGACTCCACCAGTGTAGTGTCAGCACATCACCTGCACTGGCTCACTTGGTCCACACAGAGCCTGTGAGCCTTGTGTTAACATTACTCCTTTCACACAAAGGAGAAAACAGAGGCAGAGATTGGGCGAGTAAAGGAATTTGTTTAAAATCCTATAGGCTGGGCGCGGTGGCTCACGCCTGTAATCCTAACACTCTGGAAGGCTGAGGCTGGTGGACTGCTTGAGCTCAGGAATTTGAGATCAGTGTTGGCAAGAGTGAGACTCTGTCTCTAATGAAAATAGAAAAATTAGCTGGGTATCCATGGTGGGCACCTATAGTCCCAGCTACTTGGGAGGCTGAGCAAGAGGATCACTTGAGCCCAAGAGTTTGAGGTCACTATGAGCTATGATGCCATAGCACTCTATGCAGGGTGACTGAGATTCTGTCTCAAAAAAAAGGAAAAAAAATCCAAAATCCCCCCAGAACCCAAAATCCTATGGCAAAATGATAGACAGGTCAGAGATTTTCAAGCTGGTGCTCTTAACCTGAAGCTATCCTGACAAGCATGTGACATTCTGACCTTGACCTTTGGAAAACATTAAGAGACAATGAGAGTGTCTGGTAGAGGCTCCAGGGAGCTGCTCACCCCCAAGGAGCTGTGGGTTTTTTTCAGATGCAAAATGAGGGCACAAAGTTAGAAAACCCACCAAGATCACTCTCGCTCAGGTACTATCTCCTATCCTGCCTCTGGGAAACAAGGACCACCTCCCCGCAGCAAGCAGCCTGTGCCATTCACGAGGGCCTTGTGGGACAAGGGCTCTGGCTTTAACAGACCGCCAACTTTGAGACCCCTAACAAAATAAAAATCTCTGCGCCCTTCCTGTGGGTACACCTAGGGGTTCTGCCTAGGATGCCTCTGCTTTTTTTTTTTTTGTAGAGACAGAGTCTTACTTTATCACTCTCGGTAGAGTACCGTGGCATCACACAGCCCACAGCAACCTCCAACTTCTGAGCTTAGGAGATTCTCTTGCCTCAGCCTCCCGAGTAGCTAGGACTACAGGCACCCGCCACAACGCCTAGCTATTTTTTTGTTATAGTTGGCGGGGCCAGGTTTGAACTCGCCACCCTAATGAGCCACAGGCACCGTCCTGACGACCCGGCTTCTTGAAAACACTTTCCATGTGTGGTTCTCGAGGGGGCTTCCCAGATATGCCACCCTGAAGAAGGGTGGGTGGGAGCAGCAAAGCATGTGAGCCAACTCGAGCCAACAGATTCCTCTCCTGGGGGCTTCTGAAGTGAAAGGACAACATTCCTGCCTCCCCTGGGCTGGCTGTGTTTCATCTCTGATTAGGAGGCTTTGAGGACATAAGCTGGGAATCATTCAAGGCTGGGTACTTCCTCAACATGAAGCAGCCGATCCAACAGGTCAGATGGAAACCAAAAGCCACAAGGGTGAGGAGGGGTGCCCAGCAGGAGAGCTTCTGTCTAAGCTGCCATAGGCTCTGCTCCTGGCCTGTTCTGGTACCTAAACTCCCACAGCTCCCTCTGGCTTAAGCTCTTGCAGGCTGGTTCACACTGGCAACCCCAGGAGTCCTGTCTGATTCCTGGGCCCTCTGTGTGCCAGGCCATCTCTTGCTTCACAATAGATCTGGGGCCACTGAAGCTAATTTGAAACATGCTTGGTGGCTCGGCGCCTATGGCTCAACCGGCTAAGGCGCCAGCCACGTACACCTAAGGTGGCGGGTTCGAATCCCCAGCCCCGGACCCGCCAAACAACAATGACGGCTGCAACCAAAAAATGGCCGGGCGTTGTGGCCGGCGCCTGTGGTCCCAGCTACTTGGGAGGCAGAGGCAGGAGACTCGCTTGAGCCCAGGAGTTGGAGGTTGCTGTGAGCTGTAATGCCACGGCACTCTACCCAGGGGGACAGCTTGAGGCTCTGTCTCAAAAAAAAAAAAAAAAAAAAAAAAGAAACATGCTTGGAATGGGGAGAAGGTCTGAGCGATATTCACAGCACACAGAGCCGGGAGAGCCTGCAAATATCTGAACCCATCGATCTAGAAGTGAGCAAGGTGCCTCAGCAGGTCCTTGGACATGCTGAGGACAGAGCCAGCTGCGGACAGAGCTTGGGCTGGCTTCCAGGTTTGCTGGGATACGCACATTTGGATTGCCACGCCTGCCCCCAGTCAATCTTAAATCTTACTGTCTTAACTGTGATGACAACGATTTCAGGAACATTACTAAAGTAACCTCTTCCCACCCCTCCCAGCAGGGTCAACATCTGACAATAAGAATTTTGACTTTAAAAATGTTTGTTGCTCCCTGGAGAGAGGAGTGTACTTCTTACCTTTTAAAAAAGTAGTTGCAGACTTCGGGAATGATAGCTGAGGTCCCAAACAGCACTGCCCTGGAGATTGCGGTTTCCACTAAGGCCTAGTGAAAATGAGAAGAGCGGCTTGGTACAAGGTGAAAGATGATTCCCAGGGATCCTGCGACTGCCAGAAACAGACAAACAGCAACTCCTCTTTCTTTTTTTTGGCCGGGGGCCGGGTTTGAACCCGTCATCTCTGGCATGTGAGGCCAGCGCCCTACTCCTTTGAGCCACAGGCACTGCCCAGCAACTCCTTTTTCTTATTCAAACAAAGAATGCCCAAGGTCCACAATGCACATACATGCCTTTCCCTTTCCCAGTGTGGGTGTGCGGAGCTCAACTCCACAATCTCTATCAGGTCACCAAACCACCCGAATAAACTACTCACAAGTACAGGCAAAGGCAGCTTCCAGACAAATCTTTGCTATAGAACCAAATGGCAGGCCCCTGGGTGGAAACATGGGGTTTGCCACAGAGGTTCACTCCATTTTGTCCTTTCAACCCAGGACTTTGCCACTGGCCTCCCATCCTGACCAGCTTCCCAGTGATTCCCTACCAGGTCTACATACAACAGCGTGATATTGTGCCACATGAAGCCACCTGTCTGTACCCAGCCTTCACTGTGTAATCACAGGTGTTGTGCTGTAAAATTCTGTTTTACGGATCTGTACCTACAGTTTATAACACTGTATCATCTCTTCTATAATGTACATTCTTCCATATGTTAAACATTTATTTATTTTTCGAGACAGATTCTCACTATGTCGCCCTAAGTAGAGTGCTATGGTGTCACAGCTCAAAGCAACCTCTAACTCTTTTTTTTTTTTT